TGTGTGTGCATCTGTGTGCGTGTGTGTGCACGCATGTGCATGTGCCTGTGTGTGTGCACGTGTGTGCAAGTGTGTGTGCACATGTGTGTGTGCGTGCATGTGTGTGTGTGCATGTGTGGGTGCCCTTGTACCCACCTGCATATCTACACTGTGAGGGCCAGAACTACAAGGTGCTGTGCACCCTGGGGAGAGTTTGCCTCTTAGCATGGCACCTACTGGTGGGTATGGGACTCTTCAAGAGTCAGACCAGTGGGGTCCTCCATGCCAGCGTCTCCTTCCAGGTTGGCCTGCGGAGGATCTCAGCTTCCCGCTGCCAATTACATGGATCTCCACACACTTGGAGGCAAGCCAAGTTCCCTCTACCTCCCCTTCCTAGAGACTCTGCAAGCATGACCTGGCCATCTTCTGAGCATCCCTGAAACCCACACCCCTAAGCATCCCTGAAACACGTCTCCACAGCCATCTCCTGAGCGTCCCTGAAACCCACACCCCTTCCACACTGGCTTAGCTTAGGTCCTCAATGCTACTTCTGCTTTGAACAAAGACGGCCATCCGGGCAGGGCTCATGCCTCTTTGTCCCTCTAATAATGCTCTCCTCTCCTTATCCCCTCTCTGCTCTGTCTCGATGGCCTCAGCTCAGCCCCAGACACCTTGGCAAGGCATGCTGGATCTTTCTTAACTCAGGTCCTGACCTCCCTACACCTCTCCAGCCTCTCTTTTCAACTTTCTCCTGCTCAGACTCATCGATCCCTAGAACTGTGGCATGAGTGTCACCTTTGGACCAGAACACTTATCCCCCTGGCCAGCCAGCAAATGCCCACTCATCCTTCACAATTTAACCTGGGCAGCCCTTTCCTACCAGTTCCCTGTAGCTCTTCCTCCCTGTCTCACCCCTGTCCTGACCACTGGGCTCCTGCACAGCCCCTCCACACAAGGAGTCTTCAAGGGCAAGGGTTTATGTTTTACTCCGTTTTCTTGTTTAACTACCTCTCATGCCCAACTGGCAGTGCCCAGCACACTGGGGGCACAGAGTAAGTGTTCTTTGATGAATGAGTGAGCATGGAGCTGCAACACGTCCTGGACCTGGGTTCTCACCATGGAGACTGCGTCTTGTGAGATGGGACTCTAGGTGTCCTCTTTTGTAGGAGCAGGTGTTTGTGAGGAGTCACTCTGCCCCAGGATTTGCTTCAGCCCTCTCTGAGCTCAGTATCTCATAGCATTTGGTGCCTGGGAGGTGTTTTCCGGCTTCTCACTGTGCCCTATGGGCAGGCAAAAGGCCAAAAGGCTCAGCCTTCATGGGAGGACTCTGGTCATTGGCTGAGCTGTGACATTGCCTCTTGACTGGTCCTAATGTGGTCACCTCCTACGGAGCAAGGTAGAGACTCAAAAGAGAGATATTTTTAGTGATATTTTTATAGGCAAGACAAAAGGAGCCCATCTGGTGAAAAGAGGGCTGGACCAAGCACTGGGGGACCTGGGTTCTATTTATTTTCATTACTGTTATTAAAACTAAGCACACATTGAATATGCAACAAAGCACAAAATTAGATACCACCCTCACAGAGGGCCTCCTGAGGCTGATTCAGCCAGCCGTGCATACCATGAGAGGACCAGGGTGTTGGCCTTCATATCTAAGGTGGCAGGGCTATCTCATTCTCAGCTCACTCAACCTGACCTTGAGATCTTTACTTCTGGGGTGGGGATGAGATTTTATGAGCCCAGCCATGCACCTCAGGAGAAGGCACTGCTCCTGGGCTAGAGGGAAGCCACCTGCGATGGCCTTTGACCTTGGCTTTTCCTGGCCCCTGCTTTACTCAATAGAGCTCTGTGGCTCAGACTTCTATTGAGAGAAGGTCAGGAAGTTGTAACAAGAGCACTCCAGAAAGCTGAGCCCATACCCACTATCTGATCTTCTTGAGACATTCCGTGATGAGTCTAGGGAAAATAGAGACCATAACTGGCCTGAAGAAGGGGTTTCAGGAAAGGAAGGAGGGCAGGTAAGTATGGAAGTGAAAGTGGGTTCTGGCCAACAGGGTAAAAGTAAGGAATTTGGGCAGAGAAGAGTGACATTAAGGGTTGGCTTTCCTTGTCAGCCTACTTGAATTATTCTGTGCCAGGGAATGTGGGGCTGCCCACCAGTTATACTCCACCCTCTGTCCTCCATTCCATGTTCAGCTGGGTGGTCTACTTGTGATCCTTTCTTCTTTCCTGAAAGCCTCAGGAATGGAGCTGCCTATACCAGCTGCCCATCCCTCTGAGCTCTCTTTCATCAGGACTAGGTTGTAGATGCTACAAAGCAGTAATTTCAACTACTACTTTCTTCTTCTCCTTCTCCTTCCTCTTCCTTTTCTCCCCCTTCCCCTTCTCCTCCTTCTCCTCCTCCTCTTCCTCCTTCTTCTTCTTCCTCATCATCCTCTTCTTTCTCCTCTTATTCTTCCTCTTCTTCCTTCTCTTCTTCTTCTTTCTCCTTTCTTCTTCTTCTTTCACCTTTCTGATATTTCAGAAAAAAAGCACATAGTCAGCAATTTTTTTTCTGTCTAGGAGATAACAAAACAATAGGCTTGAGTGATCTAAAAGCAAGCTAAGTGTACCCCTTGATTTCAGCCCCCTCTCTGTATATTGGCTTTTGGGGGAACATTCTTGACTTTTTGAGATAAGTCCCAAGGAGACATGACCATCCTCTACCCAGTCTTTTTGGATAGGGGCATGGAGGTAGGTGGACTCTCATTCTCATTCTCATAATTTCTGGGCATGACTCAGACAGGGTTGTTGAGTATGGCCGCCCAGGCTGTGCACTGCACAGCTCGAAGGGGAATTGTACATCATGGAAGAAGACCTGCCCTGGCGCCCAGAATCAGTCACCAACTGTCATTGCCTAATTTACCAGGCCATGTAGTTTATTCGGATGCTCCTGAGATGTGCTACAATTCTTTATCAGCAAGGAGTACCATTGCAGCTGCTAAGCTAGAGGGCTGTCTCTCCACTGGCACCTTCTCCTTCCAGTCCTAGTAAGCCCCATAGTCACTTCAGTGGAGGAGACTCCCTTGGGGCCCAGCCAGAGGACTTAGTGTCCAGAGCTGAGTTCACTGCATCCCTCTCCCTAGCCCAAATATGAGGAAAGCAGAAGCTGGCTCCCTTGTGTGTTGTGCCTTACAGCTGTTCCTCCACCACATGCAGCCTCTGACTTAACCAGGTGCCGCTCACTATGCAAGCGGGGGAGACTCACTGACTTATACTCTCCAACCCAGACTGGTGTCCGCCAGCATCCAACTGCACAGCACATCAGCTGTGTGGCCAACTTGGAGAGATTCCTCTTCCTTTGCTCCAGCCACTCAAAAGTGCATGCATGCATACCTCCATAAAATAAAAAACAAAAAAACTCAAGAAACCAAACAACACAATAACAAGCAAAAATGCTAGTGACCAGATACCTCAGTGAGGCATTTTCCCCTTTGCCCATTAGCCTAACTGCCCCAGACCGTAATCACCATGAGCAATCCCAGCTGTGACATCCACCAGACTAAGGGATGGACGGGCCCCAGAGACTTCTTGCTCCAGTGAGCAAGCATGTAGTCTCTATGCTTTCATTCCTTTGACCACCTGACGTGAAGCTAAGCTCTAAATTAGGCAGCAGGGAAGCCCCAGGGACTGGAGCCCCAGGAACTGGAGGCAAGGGGCTTAGATTTTAGGAGCATCTCTGTTATTCCAAAGGGCATGCCATCTGTGAAATGGGATTGGCAGCACAGACCACAACAAATGCACAACGCAGGGAGGAATTGGTGCTCTCTGTCACAAATGTGGCTGGTCGTGGACCAGCCTTGGCAGGAGGGAAACGAGGAAGAGAATCTGAACATGTGGCTCTGTGAGACATAGGAAGAAATCCCTGGTGGGTCAAGCAGTGACTGCCAGGCCACTTAATCCAGCAACTAACCACACTCTGAATGAGCCCAGCATTCTTTGCACATTTCAAAAGTATCAGCATCTGAGAGGCATTGAGCAGGATCTGGGCTGCCTGGAAACCAAATGTTTGACTTCTTGGCTGGAACACATGTTGCATTTGAATTTAAGAGGCTGTTTCTCCTTTCTGGTGTGTGTCCATGAGAATGGTATGTGTGCATGCATGAGCTCATACATGTGTGTGCTGCATGAGTTTATGTGTGTCTGACATGCACATGGATTTTCATGCGTGTACATTTCAAGATAGGAATGTGCACTTCTGCACCTACATGTGATTTGTACCAAGTATGTTGGTGGGGATTTGGTTGATGAGAAACAGCCTCCCATTTCCCCATGTATTGTAGGTGTTTGGGCCCATGAGAATAATATGGGGATGTAAGTATATCCTTGTAACATCAAATAATTAGGTGTTGGATAGATTACAACGTTGGTATCATTTCATCAACTTTGTGGGGAAGGGGACATTCATGGGCATGAGAATGGGTTTTGCTGATTTTTTCCACACTCTTTGACCCAGTCTCCCTGACAAGGGTGACACACCTGTCAGTTTCACCCTATGGCATGCACCCCTGGAGCAGATCTGGAGCTGTTCAGTGACTGAGCCTACAGCCTTGATTTCGTCAGCTCTAAGAGCTTCCAATCAAGCAAACAAGCCACGCTACCACAACTATGCCACTTTGCATTTGCCTCGTGCTTTGTCAAAGCTTAGTGTTTTATTATGTGCCCCTTTTGTTTGGCTAATACTTTTTGAGCATCTACTTTTTACAGATGTAGCCATTCCTAGCAAGCAGATGGGCAGGGGTGGGTAAGCAATGTTAGCCCCATTTTGGTCACATAGTTTGTTGGGATCAGAACCAGAACTGGGACTCAGGGCCTCTCTGCGTTGAGAGCTTTGGCACTCCCTCTTCACAGGAGCATGTGCTAGCACTTACAATGGATACACCCTTGAGCTAGCACTGCATAGGTTACCTACACAGGGGTCCTCAGCTTCCCCACAGGAGGGGTCAGAGGGCCTCTCTGAGATGCCACTGCTCTCTTGGCAGAGTGGCGACAAGGAAGTGGGGCAAGGATGATCTTGCAGGATGAAGACATCACCACCAAGATTGAGAATGATTGGAAACGACTGAACACGCTGGCCCACTACCAGGTGAGGGGAATGTGGAAAGGGGAGGAGCTAGCCAACTACAAGTCCCTTGCCCTGGAAATCATTGTCCTGGAATAACAGGGCTAGACACCAAGCCCCTCAACAGCACTCCATGTTCCGTTAGTGCTCCAGAGGAAATTGATGTCTCCCAGCCAAGAAGCCAGGAAACCCTGACCTCTTTGGAGATAACATGCTGACATGCACACTTTCTGCAGGGCACGGGCAGAGTCCCCAAGGAAGGCCCTCCTGAGAAGTTCCTCTGGGCATTTAAGGCTGGGTTATCTTCCAGGGAAGCACTGGGATTGAGAATGCTAGGGAGGAGCTCTTCCCAGGAGTTACTCCGAGAGAAGCCACAAAATAGAGCACTAGTCAGTATCCAGATCTGTGTCTTGTTTTGCTCCAAGGAAAGCTGACAGCCTCCAAAGTCCCCTAGTTCTCCAGCAAGGCACCAATTGCCCCTTAGTGCCAAGTTCATCCTTATTTGTCCTTATTTCCTGGAGTGGCAGAGCTGCTGTGCCCAGGCCCTGAGAAGCTTTTTTCCTGTAGGTGCCAGATGGTTCCGTGGTGGCATTAGTGTCCAAGCAGGTGACAGCCTATAACGCAGTGAACAACTCCACCGTCTCCAGGACCTCAGCGAGTAAATATGGTAAGATCCCACCGAGTGTCCTGGGGAGGCCCGGGTGTCCAGAGCAGCTGTTGTCATGACAACAGCATAGCCAGAAGGCAGGAGACTCTTGGAGAGGGGAGCTGGGGCATCAGAAAGGCTGACCATCAGGGAAGAGAGCCAGGTGGGGGAAGAGGCCCCTGGTTTCAGTCCGTCACTCTGATGCATAAGCGAGACCTTCATCCATGAGCAAAAGAGTAAAGCCAACTTTCATGAATGTCTTCCAGTCTGTAAGATGCCTTTCCTTGTGTGATAGCTATTATCTCACATCATGTTCTTAACAATCTAGTGAATTAAATAATTATTATTTCCCCCTATTATGCAGATTAGTACATTATAACTCAGGTGCACAGAGGTTAAATGATTTGTAAGAGCCACTGTTATTTTGCAGTGGAGTGCAGGTACAGACCAGGTGCAAGGCTCTGCAGTGGTGGGGAGAGGGTGCTGGAGGTGGGATAGAAGCCAGAAGGAGCCCTGTTCTGTCTGCCCTATCTGTGTGCTTTGGGGCTAGTCATCTGACCACTATGAGCCTTGGCTATTTATTTATTTACCAGAAGAAGAGATTGAAAAATCTACTGACTGAACAGGGTCATTCTAGATAATAAATAGATGAATACAGAGAATAGTTCCTGCACACAGTAGGACCGCCATTTCATTTTCCTGCTCAGTACTCATTTCACAACACTTCACAAACACTGGCAGGAGTTTCAGCAAATAAACAGGAATAATTTGGCACAGGCCAGAGGGGAGGACAGACGAAGGTGAGCAGGTTACCAGGCGATTACTCATCCGATCAGCGGTTATTAAGGGAGACAGGCTACCTGCTCTTAAGTGTGTACTTAATTGGCTGCACAGAACTCATCCTGAGACATGACTTGAGAACTCTAACAAGGAAAAGCATTAAAAAAGTACAGGCTTATATTTTTTACAAATTGAATAATTAAGGGTTGACACGATGCAGAGTACAGGAAGGAGGGGGAGATCTGAGTGGGTAGAATTAGTCACAGATAGTTTCCTGGAGGTGGTGAGAAAAGCATCCCAGTTTCAGGGAATGCACCAAACCAAGGCGAGGTGATAGCACCGGCCAATGGCAGGAATGATCAGACAGTCGTTGGCTTCCGCCAGAGCGAGGGATGCATGGTAAGGTGATGGGCTAAGGCCTTGTGGCCTCACATACATTTGGGGGTGATCCTTGCCTCGGCAGAAAACATGATCCGGTACACGGGCAGCCCTGACAGCCTCCGCTCACGGACACCTATGATCACTCCTGACCTGGAGAGTGGAGTCAAGATGTGGCATCTAGTGAAGAACCATGAGCATGGAGACCAGAAAGAGGGGGACCGGGGGAGCAAGATGGTGTCCGAAATCTACCTGACACGACTCCTGGCCACTAAGGTATCAGACTTGAGAACTGGGTGCAGGGAGCCCAGAGGCTATGAAGAGGGACTTCATCAGCCCACAGAAATGCCAGAGTAGCCAGTACCCAGCATTCGTGCTGGTGCTCACTCTATTATCCACCCCAGGAGGCACTGCTGATCAGCCCCTGTACCGAACCTCAGAATCCTTCTCAATCCAGCGCTCCAGGCAAACCCCACCAATACATTGGTGTTGGCATGCAATCTGAAGATTTGTTTCTATCCCTTCTCCATGCCCTTCTGAAATGCTGAGACTCTGACTGCCTCTTTTCACATTCTTCTGCCATGCCTTATAACAGAATGGTTTCTTCTCTGGGGTATCCTCTACAATCTCAAGTGGCGGAAGTCAGGGCTCCATCAGTGACTTCTCAGGCACCATTTTTTTTTTCTTTTTTTTTTTTCTTTTTTCTTTTTTTTTTTGTTTTTGAGACAGAGTCTTGTTCTGTCACTCAGGCTGGACTGCAGTGGTGCAATCTCTGCTCACTGCAACCTCCTCCTCCCAGGTTCAAGCAATCCTCCTGCCTCGGCCTCCCAAGTAGCTGAAACTACAGGGATGCACCACCACATCTGGCTAATTTTTTTTTTTTTTTTTTTTTTTTTTGTATTTTTAGTAGAGGTGGGGTTTCACCATGTTGGCCAGGCTGGTCTTAAACTCCTGGCCTCAAATGATCCGCCTGCCTCTGACTCCCAAAACCTGGGATTACAAGTGTGAGCCACCGTGCCTGACCCCAGGCACCATTTGTAATCCTGGTTCTGGGGACATTGCTTACCTGCAGTGCTAGTCTTTCACTCCTGAGACTGAGCTCAGCTCTGCTCTCTGCAGAGCCAAGTGAGTCACTGTTCATTAGCCAGTGTGAGTAATGCCCAAACAAAACCAGCAGATTGTGTTTGTCTGCTCTAACCAAGTGAGTGTTCATTAGCATTTGTGAAAAGTGCTAAAATAACACCGCCAGAGGGTGTTCAACCAAACCGTGTTGTTGGCAGAGGAAGCCTTACGTAGGTCCAGTCATCAGTGTTATATCTCTTTTCCTTGTGCAGGGGAAATTTAAAGCTGTTAGAGACAGGCGAAATGGGAAAAATGATTTACATGGACTTACCCAATTTCACCCAAGCGGGGTGGACTGTATACCATCCTCCCCTGCCTAGGTCTGTGAGGCAGGTTTTAAAAGCCATCCTCAGAACTACGTGAGTTGAGCTGTGTCTGGACATATCCCACCTCTCCAGGGCACACTGCAGAAGTTTGTGGATGACCTCTTTGAGACCATCTTCAGCACGGCACACCGTGGCTCTGCCCTGCCCCTGGCCATCAAGTACATGTTTGACTTCCTGGATGAGCAGGCTGATAAGCATGGCATTCATGACCCACACGTCCGCCATACCTGGAAGAGCAATTGGTGAGTAAAGGGAGGGCAGGGGGCACATCGGGAGCCCTGAGCCCACCCAGCCTCGAGTCAATGGTGATGGGACTCTGGGCCTTCAGGAGAAGGGCTGACCAGAGTCTGTTTTCATCAGCAGGGACTCTGAGCAGGCACATTCTCTGGTCCTCCCCATCCACTCTTCCTAGATTTTTGTGCTCATTCCCTCTTTCGCTTCCCTCTAGTAAAATCTGTCTGTGCATCTTTCTTTCCTATCACTTAGTCAGTTAACAAACATTTATTGAACCAGCTGAAGAAGCAAGAAATAATATGCCAAATGTCACGGCCCGGACACTCTCCCATCCAAGTACCTCCTGGGTGCCTGTGATTATGCTAGACACTGAGGATCATGAGCTAATCAGACATGGCCCCTGCCCTCAAAGAACCGACAGATGAGGGTGAGAGGCAAGGTAGTGTGGGACAAATGCTATGGAAGATGGAGAATGTGTCATGTGCAACTGGATCTTAGAAGGGCAACAGCTATCAGTGACTTGCAAGCAGTTTTGAAACACACCTAGGAAGCAACCAGGTGAACAAAGGGCATTCGTATTCTGTTCAAGCAGTTGCTGTCTTCCCATTACCTCCTTTTCCAAGTTCTGTGTGGTGAAGAGACCTGCCCTTAACCACTATGTCTTACTTTGAGACAACAGGATTCTCCAAGTACTAACTGACACTCTAGGTGTTCTCCCCTATGATCCCCTCTGTCCTTTTAGCATGGAGCATCCTTCCTTTCACTTGTGCGTAATTTGTATTTGAGGTTGAAATTTCAAGAGCTCACATCAGTATTCAGCACTTAGTATGGAACCTTGCGTAAAGCTGGGTCTCAGTAATTATTGATGAGATGCAGGGCCAAGGTGGTCTCTGGTTGAGAGCTCTACCTGAGGCAAAGCTGGCTTATCCTTTGTCCCATCAGTTCCAGAACAGCCTCCCTGCAGCTTTTCCATGGTGCCTGTCCCAGGCTCTTCTTCCCCAGATCATTCTCCTGAGGCAGTGTGGGCCTGTTGCCCAGCACTGACAACTGCTAGGATGGGCAAGGCATTAGAGCTCAGCCAAGCACCCTGGCACCTAGCCCCAGGCCCCAAAGCAATGCATAGATGAAGGCAGAAGTCAGACTTTGGTACCAAAACTGTGTTAGATATAGTATGCTCTGGCTCCTCATCCTCTTCACCGGGAGAAGAGACTATCCCTGCTGAATATGAAAAACCAGGCAGGAACCAAGGTTGAGACCACAGAACTGAAGCGTGGGGTTTGCTCCCACATTAACTCCTGGTGAGAGAAGACCTTCATGCTGGGGTTCTTCCAAACTTTCTCAAATAAGACTCAAAAATCTAGATTGCTCACTCAGTGTAGCAAAACTGGGTGATGCGATTTCCTCCTTTGAAAGCTGTGCTGGGTCTAATATCTCCCAGGACCTGCCTCTAGGTAAGATGCGTTTAACTCTCCTAGACTTCTAGACTTCTTGGCATGACTACTGGGAGCTGTTTGGTGGGGCATGTCCCCAGCCTACCAATCTGCTTCTGTCAGTGAGTCTTCCTACTTACTGCCTCCATTGAATGTTAACAGCCTTCAGAAGATTAAAAAAAATGTTCTGCCCAGAACTTCTCTTGGTCCTAGCTGGAGAAAGTTGGGTATTTCTAAACATTTCTATCTGCTTTCAGTAGCACATTGCAGGAATATCACCTACAATGGTATCCAAACCATTTGTTTTCACCCCGTCCCTCCTGCTGCGGTGAGGACACCTCCAGGGGTGCCATAATGTCCTTGGAGTAGAGCCAAATCCTTGGATCCCAGCTCTTCCAAGTACTCAGGTCTGAGCAAAGGAAACCCCAGGAAGTAGACAGTCCTGCTAGGCTCAAGTTCTCCCATCAAAGGACACTTTCCCCCAACCCTGACTTGATCTGTTGCTATGCTGAGCAAGACACAGTAAGTCTGGGAATTTTAAGATCTGCATATTGACTTGGAGTTAATTGTCTCTGATTGAAAGGTGATTATTTTTTTATTCCTGGCCCAAGGTGTAACCCACCCTCTCCCCACCCTCTTCTTCCACAGTTCCCTACCTCTTCTCTTTTAAATAAACCTCCTGCTCATTTAGCCTGAGTGGCTGCAATCAACCAGAGATTAGTGCCACCACTAATGTTAATAATATGCTAATATTTCATTAGGCGGGAGCCTTGGGTGAGTGCTATGGCTTCCCTGTTTGCTGTACCTGTCAGCAAAACTGGCTTGAGGACCAGGGAGCATAGGGGAGAAAAAACCAGCAGGGCAAATGTGGACTCCCAGAGTCCCTATTCCTGGGTGCAACTTCTGGACAACAGGAAGATATGAACAGAGACTTCATTAGCTGAGAAGTCGTGAGTCCTCCATTCAGGGCTCTGACCCCAGCTGTCAGGAAGCATGGGCAGCTGGAGTGACCCCTGCTTTCACCTGGGTGTTGTGGCTCTCTGAGTTTTTCTGGACACCATCCCATTATTTCCTATTAGGGATTTCCAGGGATGAAGGAAACACCGCCAAACATTGTCAGACCTCAATGCTTCCTGCCTGAGTCCCGCCCTGCACACTTTGTAGGAACTTAATAGATCCTTGTCGACTGATTGGCAGTCTTGAACATTAGGTTTTCCTGTATTAATAGCATTTGTTATTTGTACCTGCTGGCTGCTGGGAGATAGAACAAGTATAGAAATATTGTACTGGTTCTATTGAAATGATGTAATTCAAAGAGTTTAAGTTCTAAGAAGCAAGCCAAGCACATAATTAACATTCTAACTATTACCATCAGTGAGAACAACAACCAAAACAACAATAAAACATCAGGGGAAATGGCAGGAGGCAGAGGTGGGAGCAGAGGGAAGGAAGTAAGCAATCCCTTGCATGGTGCCTAGTCCTCTTTCCCACCTGCATCCCAGCAGGCTGGTTGGAAGCCATAGGATTAGAGCCCACAGGGATGGCTACAGCCAGAAGGGGCAGACGGCAGTTTCTCCCAGTGTCCCAGGATTGGGACATTTTAAGCAACAGGTTAACAATAGCAGACTGCAGGGCACACTTTTCCCTCTTTGTCTTTGTTGATGCAGAGTTCCTGTGTGCAACCCATCCTCCACCCCATTCCTCCAGGCCTCACTCTGCTAAGAAACACACAGGCCTGGCACGGTGGCTCACGCCTTGTAATCCCAACACTTTGGGACGCCGAGGTGGGCAGATCAACTGAGATCAGGAGTTTAAGATCTGCCTGGCCAACATGATGAAACCCCATCATACTAAAAATATAAAAATTAGCTGAGTGTGGTGATGGGTGATTGTAGTCCCAGCTACTCAGGAGGCTGAGGCAGAAGAATCACTTCTGAATCCGGGAGACTGAGGATTCAAGAATCACTTGAACCCGAGAGACTGAGGTTGCAGTGAGCTGAGATCGCCCTACTGCACTCCAGCCTGATGAGCAAAACTCCATCAAAAGAAAGAAAGAAAGAGAGAGAAAGAAAGAAAGAGAAAGAGAAGACAAGGCAAGGCAAGGCGGAGCAGGGCAGGGCAAGAGAAGGGAAGAAAGGGAAGGAAAGAAAGAAAGACTTATACAAGTTTTAAAACTCCCACCATCAAGTGCTCCCTTTATGAAGGCATTCTGGACACTGCCCTCTGGGTAGACTTGATGATTCCCTTGGTCCCATGTTGGACCCTACACATCTCTGGTCCTAGCACCAACAGTCCTCCCGGCATGTAGTCGGTTTCATGTCTGCCTTTCCATGAACCCATCACAATGCAGGCTTCTTGAGGGCAGAGGATGTGTCTCATTCATCACTGTATCCCCAATTGCAAGCACAGTTCCTGGTGGGCAGGAGGTGGCAACCGGCAGAAGCAGGGAGGGGAAGGAGGGAATACGATGGGGCCCATGAGGTGGATGAATGTGGGTTTTCAAGCCTGCCAGCTTAGAAATGAAAAATCAGTCAGCTACACTGTACTTCTCAGCCCCAGTAGGAGTAGGCTGAGAGGCCCAGGCAGGGAGGAAGGGTGTGACTTCTGCCAAGTCATACAGTAGATGGCAGAGCGTCAGATATGAAGCCTAGATTCCAAGCAATTCCTTAAAGTTTGCCAACTGGATACTTTTGTATCAGGCTTAGGAGCAGACAGACAGAGTTAGAAATTCCACTTTATAGCACACATCAAAGCTGCCTTTTAGGCCAAAGGGAAGATGATGAGCCCTGCCACCAAGGCTGGGTATCAAGTCCTCTCAAGTACCTACCAAGATTATATCTCTGGATGAATTATTCAGCCTTGGCAGTTCTCAGTTTCCTGGAAGGTAAATTCGGGCCCTGCAGACTTGCCTTACCTCCCTTCCTGGGCACATCCCGTCCCCAGCATAGAGAAGGCTCTTAAGTTCTATTAGTTCCCCAGGCTTCTCTCCTTCTCCAGAGACCCCTCCTACCCACGCCGCAGCCCCACTGCGCCGTCTCCCTTGACTGTCTGCCTCTTCCTTCCACGCAGCCTGCCCCTGCGGTTTTGGGTCAACATGATCAAGAACCCGCAGTTTGTGTTTGACATCCATAAAAACAGCATCACAGACGCCTGCCTCTCTGTGGTGGCTCAGACCTTCATGGACTCTTGCTCCACATCAGAGCACCGGCTGGGCAAGGACTCGCCCTCCAACAAGCTGCTGTATGCCAAGGACATCCCCAGCTACAAGAACTGGGTGGAGAGGTGAGTGCTGGGCCACGGAGCCAAGTCAGGGCCCCTTGCTGGAGCCAGCAGCTTCCTCCACAAAAAGTCCCCTCCCCCTCCAAAACCAGCTGTGCTTCCAGATGAGTCATTCACAAAGCCTGATCCTGCCACTGCACCACCCACACCCCCACGTCCCAGTGATCCTGTCCCCTGAAACCAGAATAGGAAAACTTGGCCAGAGATTGCTATGATAGCTCAGCTTCCCTGGATAACAGGCCCTGGAGCCTAGTGGCTGAAATGCCTTCTAGGCCCAGAGAGGAGATGTGCTCCTAGCTCTAATCTTCACCTCCCACCCCCCAAAAAATAAATAAAAACTGTCATCATAAGACTTCAAGGGGCCAGACTCCATCATTGCAGCAGAAAAAGCTGGAGGCCTCTACCCATCTGCTCCCGTCTGGCTGGCAGTTCCCAGCATTCTGTGGGGATGTTTTTGTCACTGTCTGAACAGCTTCTCACTCTCTCAGCCCCTTGCCTCTCACGTGAGCTCTTAATGCCCTGGGTCTTGCAGTGTTGTGATCAAATCCCAGTGTCCTGCAGAGCTCTCGTGACTGAAGGTCCCCCTGTGAGCTGCAGGGCTGGGCTCCTCCTAGGGTGGCGCTGACTCATGGTAAAGAAGGTTAATGGTTTGTCTGAGCCGCATCAGCTCCATACGCCAAGCACCTGAACTAAGCAACCAGCTGTAGCTTTATTCATTCATCACAGCAGCCCTGTACTAGGGAGAGGACAGGAACTGTAAGCTCCTTTTATGCCATGAAGGTGAAGAAATGTACATGCAGAATGGCTAAGTAATCTGCCCAAGGTGATTTAAGGGACCAAGATGAAACTAGATCCCAAACCTCTTAGCTGACTCCCAAATAACTTTCCTACCTCTTTGCATTACTTTCAGACAGGACTTCTGCCAACCCGTATGGTGCCTCTGTATGGTTTAAGAAAGATACCCCTTCCTACAGAATGAGGTAGCCCCACACCGAGTGTGTTTGCTGAGTGTTGGGCTTTGTCAGCCCCAGCTCGTCCTCTTGTCCAAGTATCTTTGTGCAGTGAGTAATCTGCACAACTCTACATGGCAGTCCTGCATTTAGACTTTCTCTTTATTCCAAGTAGCTTAAATATAAGAAACCTAGAGGGAAGCTCAGATTTGGTGCCTTTTGAAGAGTAAAAGAGTTCAGAAGGTGTGCTTGACTTGGTGACAAAATGTACTTTATCATTTTGCCTATGATAGAGACAGCCTCTGTCTTTATACTTGAAAATTGCCTTCCCTTATAAAAAGGAAATAACTAAGAGGGAGTAGAGTCCTGGCCACCTCAGTGCATTAGTGTCACTGAAAGGGTTTGATTTTGTTTTTCCCTGTCCCCTCTGCCCTGTGATACCCTCTCCTCCTTTCCTACTGAGGCAGGTGGTGGACATGCCACCTCGGCTGTCCAAAAGGAAACTAACTCTTTTGTCCTAGTGTCTGATTATGTCTGAGTCATCTAGACGTGTTCTTACCTCCTGCTACATAGACAGTGGCTCACTCTTCCAACAATAGAGCTGCCAGGACCGGGCCCTCCAGCCCCTCCCGTGTGGGCAGCCAATTCTTTAGCAGGGAGAGGGGAAAGAGGCAGCAGTGGGCTGTTGGTCATCCCTGTGCTACAGTGTCATTGTGATAGTGCCCCAGGCGGGGAGGGGGGAACCAGGGTTGTGAAGGGCTGGAAACATTTGTGAAGTGTCTGCATAAAGGACACTTCCCAGAAACAGGCTGCGTAGTCAGAGCTGAAGCTCATGCATGCATGGGCCGTGGAAGTAGTCTCCTTTCTGCTTGGTGCTCAATGAGATTTGTGCCATGCAGCTGCTGCAGGTCACAAGTAAACTCAGTCCATTGGGTTATTTTTAGGAGTGATTTGATGGTTTCCATTTCTTATCCCACTCGTTTCTTAGCAACCACTGACACTCTGAAGAAAGTCATTCACTTACTTGAGGCCCCAAATCTTTTCTCCTTTCCGGGACCAGGGTACAAAGACAGACAGATCAAGAAAACAGCATGGACAGGGCTAAAGTCAAGCCCAGAGGGCTTCTTCACTCGGTGATGGAGGGACAAGTCCACTCTCATTCCCAGAGGACGTATCCTCCGAGCTTGTCTGGCTCCCTCGAGGGGAAAGTAAAGTCTGGCAGGGCAGACCTCACCTGGTACCACAGCACACCTGATCTCCCACTTCCCCATTCCAAGGACATTGACAGCCTGCAGTTGAGGATGATGGTAGAGTGACCTGGCCACGGCTTGTTCACTTCTGAATCTGCTCGCCTGCTGTTGGTCAAATGGAGACAGTCCTCCCAGGACTCGAACTTAGAGGCTCACTGCTGTGGAGTGTGCCCTGCATGTATTTGGGGAAGGCTTTCTGTACCATCACAACTGAAAAATAGGGCTTACCCTGCCTTGTCCTCTCTTCAGAGCAGGTGAAAAAGGGAAGCATATAAATTCAGGAAGCCTCAATAACTCTTGGTTGAACAGCATAGATGATTCTGCCAGTATGTTGAGTCTTCTAGAAATTCTTTATCTAGCCTCTCACTCATCTTGTCATCTGTCCTCCCACCCATCCCCGACTCATCCTTCCATCTAGTCTCCCACCAGTCTTCCCACCTGTCCTCTCACCCATCTTTGAGCCCCTCCTCCCACCCATCCTCTCACCATCCTCCCACCATGCTCCCATCTGCCCTCCCTTCTCTGCTCTCACTCATTCTGTTACCCATCCTCTAACCCATCCTCCTGTCTGTCCTCCCATCCATCCTCCCACCTGCCCTCCCTTCTCTCCTCTCACTCATTCTCTTACCCATCCTCTGACCCATCCTCCTGTGTGTCCTCCCATCCATCCTCCCACCTGTTCTCGCTCCTGTCCTGCCATCTATTTTTCCATCCTCCTGCCTGTCCTCCCATCCATCCTCCCACCTGCCCTCCCTTCTCTCCTGTCACTCATTCTCTTACCCATCCTCTGACCCATCCTCCTGTGTGTCCTCCCATCCATCCTCCCACCTGTTCTCGCTCCTGTCCTGCCATCTATTTTTCCATCTCTTCTCCCATCTCTCCTCCCACCCATCCTTCTACCTGTCTTCCCTCCTACCATCTCCCCATCCATCCTCCCCTCCCATTCCTGCCTCCAAGTATCTTGTAATAATGGTGGTTTGTAGACCCGCTGTGGATTCCCAGTATTCACTCCCCTCGTATAAGAATTTGAATTTTGCTGTGGCCAAATCTGGAAAAGGGGAGAAGAGTCTCTTGGTTTCCAATTAGCAGTTAACTGCTACCCTCATCTTACAGATGAAACCCAACAGTGTCATCACCATGAAATGGTGTGTTGTGATCAGTTGTAGTTTTTGTGTCATTACCAGTAGCAATACATTGCACACTTTAGTAGTGATTTTCTCCGATTTTAACTTGGAAGAGTTGAAAGGTCATTCTTGCAGCAACATTGGCCTCACTCACTTGCCATCAGTCAGCTTTTAAGAAGTAAGTATAATGGAGTCGCAGCAGGCCACTGGGGTTTGGACTAGAGTGTGCCACACATTTGAATGTCATCTATCATGTGTGTCACGGCACGAAAAAGGTTAAGAATTTTAAATATTTAAATATGCCTCCTATGGAAACCATCCGGTCAAATACATAAAATGGTGACAGCTCGCCCTGGGAGCAATACTAGAGGTGAGATATAGACATTTCATTAACATATTCATTAATTCATGGGTCAAACATTAATGGTATCCATCATGAGTGAGTTGGGTACTTGAAATGCATTGAACTTGACCCTTTCTTTGCAGCTCCTGTGGTCGGGGAGGCCACACAGACAGATGCTCAGCAGACCCCACGAGCATCAGAGTGGGTAACTCAGGGTGTGGGGCCTCGTTCTGCTGGGCCCAGAGAGACCCTCCCGTGATTCACAGAGGAAAAGACTTTTGTGTGGGTTCTTGAAAGGTACATATTGGGGATATCAGAGCATCAGGCTGGAAATATCTTTCACTCCTGCATCTTCATCCTCAAGGTGTGTGGAGGGATGCCAACACTGTGTTCTTTCCAAAGAGTTTAGGGCACTGGAGACCATCTTCCCAATCACTACAGACCTATCCTAAAGGCAGGTATTAGATAGTCACGGTCACTCTCTGGGCCCAGGATTTCTGCTGGCATCCCACTACCCCATAGAAATCCACAGACTAGGACCCTAGGACCCTGCAGCCAACAGTGGAGGATGCAGCTCTGTGGGGTGTTGATCTTTATGGTCTCTCCCAGAGGCCTGATGTCGGGACCTCAGGGGTGCCGGCCTCCTCCCTGCTGTGAGCAGGTCAGCAAAGAGAACCAGGGAAGGCCAGTGGTGGGACCAGCTCCTTCTTAGCAGGTCAGGCTTGGGGCAGCTCGGAGGGGTCCTGAAGGACTTCCTGGAGATGGGCTTACCTGGAGGCAGAACGCCCACAGGAGCGAGTTCAAGCACAGGGTCCCAGGCTCCCTTTTCCCTTCCTCAATGCACAGCCAGCAGATGAGAATGCTTGTTTAAAGTTCCTTAACAGGGCTTAATTATGTTCTTCCCAATCAATAAGGCTTCCCAGTGGAGAAGCCCAGCACAGGGGCCAGCACAACAGGAGCGAGAAGGAAGCAAGGTTCACCCGGCAGAGGTAGTACCATATGAGTTGGCATCAGGCACAAGGTGCTTGCTAGGGAGTGGGAGTGGGGGAGCAGGAGGGGTCAAGACAGCATTGGCAAAGCCCTGCAGAGAAGAGGGGACCACTTAGCAGCAGGCAGGCTTGGGATCAAAAACAGGGTAGACTGTCAGCAAGACTTAAGCCCCACACCCACAGACATTGGGCTGTCAGTGGCCACTCAGCTCAGCTGATTTAGAACTTGCTGAAGATGAGGTCATGCAGTTGGCCCACCCGTTACTAGTGTGTGGCCGCAGACATGCCCTGGTTTGATCCAGCCTCCCCAGTGCAAAGGCGACAGGAAAGAGACGGGAGCTGCCCGGCAAGGACCTGCCCTCGCAGAGAGGATGACATATTCAGGAGAGGCACGTCACCCAGTAACTCTAGATGAGATGGTCAGGGCCCCAGCCCTGTCCTATCCTACTCTCAACTCCCTGCCCTCCACCCCAGCAGCTCTCTCTGTCTTTCTCACACACACATATATACTTGTAGATATTCTCTTTGGGGAAATGGATAGGGCTTTTAGTGTGCTGCCATGAGGCAAGCCGCTGTGAAGGCACAGAGCACTGGGCTTCTGTTGTTTCCCCTAGCGATGGTCCCTTCACTGCAGACACGGTGGCTCCTAACCTAGGATTCCTTACACCTCAGGGACTATAAAGGCAGCAAGAAGGTCCCTGGCACTGTTCGCAAAAAGCCTGACAGAGCCGCCTGCCTACTGTGATAGGTTCCGCAGCTGGTGAGAGAAATAACAGGAGTCTTTGCTTTTGGTGACGGTTATGTCCTTTCCACGGGAACCTGGGTTTTTCACCTGGTCAGAGGCTCTGATTGTGTACAGGTGACAGAGTATACCTGTCTGGTGGAAGCTTGGAACTCAGCTGAGTTACCAGAGTTGCATGGCTGGCTGCTGGCCATGGTACCAAAAGTGAGTGAGGTTATTTGTTCACACTTTTTACCAATACAGCCTGTGAAGATAGCCCTTTACTTGACAAACATATCTTGCTTGGCAGACATGGGATCCCTAAGGGGACAGTGACACAAATCTCCTTGGGAATGGCAAGGTTGGGAGCTACTACTGAAATCTCTGGTCTCCCACTGTAAAATGGAACATTGGCATTTATTGCATTCCAGAAATGGTGACAGTGAATCGAGTCTCGCTGTAATTGTATACCTGTAATGTCATTAAATTACTCAGAGCCCTGTGTCCTAAGGTACCTGAGGATGTGTTTTGTGGCAGGTGATAGGCCTTGAAGAGAACAGGCTCTTCTGGGGATGGAGCAAAGAAAGCAAAATGAAACAGGAAGGGGTACTGGGCCTTGGGGGTTCTGAAGGTGGAAGAGGGGCGGGGAATGGAAGAAGATGTGAAGGATGGAAATCCAAATGAGATGGGGGCAGGGCGGCCTGTCTGAGTAGCCAGGCTACTCTGAGAAAGGCCATGTTATTACACCCTTGGCCTTGTTGCCTGTCTCAGGCTCCTGCCCAGCCAAAATGCTGCCAGTTCAACAAAGCAGTTGGCAAAATGTCTGGTATGTGGCCAGGGGAGTCCCTTCTGACCAGCCCCTTCCCTTGCCAGGGAGCACAGCTGTCATCTTCCCTCTGCCTCCCCATTTTTCAGACAGAACAACAGATCTGGCAATCCTAGTACCACTCAGAGCAGGGAAGCCATTCCAGCCCTCACTAGCCCAGGGATGCTGTGGGGCAAATTGAGCTGTCATTCCATTGCAGGCCCTTGAGCTGATGACTGGGACAGTACAGGAAAACCGTCTCTGCCCATCTTCACCCACCTCCTGGGCACTGATGGGAACAGTTGGAGGTCAGGGAAACAGCACAAGCCTGATGGGGTCCGGGTTGGAGAAGTGAAGGATAGGGCTGGGGTTCAGGGGGAGACTGTCCCAGAGCCTCTGACCAAGATTCGAGTTCTGAGAACTCCCAGGGTCTGCCACTGTCACCAATGCTTGTGCAACCCTGAGAGTGAGTGTCTTTCCTTAAACTTGGTGCCTAGGTGCCTTGCTTGATGCACCCTAATCCCTGCCCTGGAGACTGTCCTCCCCCATCCCCTCTGATCCTAGGTTTTAGGTTTACTTTCTACAGCATGGCAGCCACAGGGACTTGGCATGGGCTGGATTGGGCTAGGCTGAGCCGGGCCACCACAGGGCTTTGAGGTTTATGATGCCCCCCATCATTGTCGTTACCTCTTCTCTTTTATGCAGTCCACAAGCCCAAAAGTGCATAGGAGAGGGTGAGAAGTGGCTGTCTTTGGGGGCACTGAGGCCTTTCAGTTCCTCATTAAGAAACGGCACAACTCCCCTCTAGCGGGGGAGTTGGGGTTTGGTGCATAAAATGTCAAATTGCAGAAATTAAAAATGTAAATGCTGGCATCTAATTAACCAGTTGACAGCAGTGCACAGCTGCAAGTGACAGTGACTGATTGCCTTCTGCCAGTCTCTCCCCTAGCAGCCTCAGCGCTGCCTCCTCCCATTGAGCCCCCAGAGAGCGGAGGACATCAGAGAAGAGCAACCGCTTGGAAGAGCCTTCAGGCCCTGCTGGAGGAGATCCCTTGCATCTGTGGAAGGGGTGTTAGAGAAACTCAAGACAGCCTAGACCTCTCTGTGTGGTAGCTGAGAGCAAAGAGCATGCCTGAGGTTGGGCCCCTCTGGCTCTCGGTTCCTCTCCTGTCTGCCCTTAGACAATGTATTGGCCACTCCCCAAATCCCTTCCCTCTATGCCTCGTGCATCCAGAGCTGTAGAGGGCTCTTCCTGGTTTGGACCCAGCAACCCAGATGAGAGAGAGACCACAGTGGTCCCCCGGTGGTCACAGTGCAGGTACCCACTACCTGGAGTGCACGCTGAGCTCATGGACCCAGACACGGTGCTGGGAGCATCCATCTCTCCTCTACTCTGAATGCATGACTCCAGCTTCTCCCTACTTCCATCCCTCCACAGGTATTACTCTGACATAGGGAAGATGCCAGCCATCAGCGACCAAGACATGAACGCATACCTAGCTGAGCAGTCCCGGATGCACATGAATGAGTTCAACACCATGAGTGCACTCTCAGAGATCTTCTCCTATGTGGGCAAATACAGCGAAGAGGTAAGCTTTGCCCTGCTCCAGGCCCATTGGGATGGAAGGGGGCAGAGAATGAAGACAACCCTGCGTGCCTCCATGTAAGAGAACATTGCCACAGACACCTCCACCTCTGCTGGGGGAACCACCACTGAGGACTTGGGGCTGTATTCCAAAGGCTGGAATGCTAGAAACCCTCCATCCCATAAATTCTGCATTCATCCCTGTGCTTCTTAGATATATAAATAAGTACCTATTTCTTTTATATTGTCTTTTTTAATTCTTATTTTCTCTCCAGTATTTCTTCTTTTTTATGTTTTCCACATCTCTCTGTGATCTAACTCTCTTTAAACAGGCACCTCCCCACTCCTATGGGCAGGCTATATGGAATGGCATGGTATGGTATGATATGGTGCAGACTCGAATAGGAACAGAATAGACTAGAAATGAAACAGAAGTGAGTCAAAACAGAATGGAATAGAATAGAAGAGAACAGGATGGAATAGAATAGAATAGAATAGAATAGAATAGAATAGAACAGAACAGAACAGAACAGAACAGAACAGAACAGAACAGAACAGAACAGAACAGGAGAAATATAATGTGTTTTTCATTGTTGTGTTCCCTCACTGCAAAATCCCACCTGGGGTCATTGCCACTATAGACAAGGCCTTCTTTCTGGCCAGTGCCATGGTGCTATGGAAGTTTTCTTGGCTATGCATGGAGTCAGGAGCAGCTTGGAGAGAGAGGACCCTCAGACATCTTCTTGTCAGTCCAGGAAGCCCAGGAAGGGAGCAGCCCAGGAAGACACAGGCATGTTCAGGGGCATACACAGCACTGCTGGGTAAGAGGAGGCCTGTCTTCCTGGGCTTCTAGTCAGCTCTCTTGCCCTGGGCCTGGCCATCCTTGGAATCCAAATTCCCTGCATCTGAGCAGCAGCATAGCCACCTTCTCTGAGTGGAGGGTAGTAAGAGAAGCTGAAGCTCGTGCCCTGAGTTCTCTATCTCCTCCCATCCTCATTACTTAAGGGAGAGTCCAGGAACCCCTGGTTAAATTAGCAGACCCAGCAGGCCCAGGGCCTGGAGTCCTGCAGGCCATGAACAGCCTAATTCCGTAGCCCTTAAGTCATGGGAAAGCCAGTGCTGGCTCCGTTAGGGGAGGGACCCTGATGGCAGTCTGCAGCTGAGTACTGGTCTGGGACAGAGTTTTCCCCTGTCTGTGGCAATGCGACGTAATAAGGATGCTGTAGTGTGCACCAGTGTAAGCTTCCAACTGTCTCATCTCAGAAAGGATTCTCTGTTAGTCTGCAAGTACAACTGTCTACCTTGGTGTTTAAATAACCCATCTTTATGAAATGATGGTGTGTACAAATGACAGTTTTTGGCCAGCTCTATCTTGCCTCCCCAATTAAAGAAACATTAACTGGGTCATGAAATCCAAAGCCCTGGGTGCCTCCCTTGAGCCTTCAGCCTCCTTCTCATCCCCTTACCCTCCCTTCTTATCCCTGCCCCCTCAAACAGCAACATCAGTAGGTTCCACCCAATTGTCTAGTGCCTCTGGCAGGGCAGGCCTTGTGTTGAGGGTGCTCACAGATATTATCTGACATCCTGTCCCCTGGAGGTGGATTAGTCATTCCTACATTAACAGTTGAGGACGTTGAGTGTTCAGATAGGTTACCTGTTTGGCCTCAGATCACCCAGCTAGAAACTGGCAGAGCCTTTACTCAATCCCTCATCTCCTGAGTCTGAGTAAAATTCTAACACATTTTTCATTATGGGCCACAATTGTTGGCTGTCATTGTCCTCTGCTAACTGCCTGCCCTCAGAAAAGGCTTTGGTAGACATTATCCATTAGGTGTTAATGGCCAGGAAAGCTTGTAGTCTTATTCTTCTAGTGATATTTGTTTTTTAACAGGCGAAGTGAAAACAAATGACTTTCTAAATGTAGAATCTGGGGCCCCAGGGAGCTGATGGGGAGGATTTTTATTTCTGTGGGAGGAAGGGTGGGATGTCTTAACATCCATGAAATCACATTCCGGCTCCATGCTGAGCACTACACATTTCCATGGGATATGGAACTAGCTGCTGTCTAACCTGCAGGTAACTGCAGCAACTCGGCACAGGCGTCTTCAGCAGAGTTTCTGCCCTCTGTCTACCATCTTTTGTAGCCAGTAGAATGCACAGTCATTCAGACATGACCATGTGTGCTGGCATCCTGTGCGCACTGCCATGCTGATGCCCACATGCTGTGCCTGCCACACCTTCCCACCCGTGCTGCCGAGGCCTCCTCCTACCCAGCAGTGTCCAGTGTGCCCCTGCACGTGCCTATGGCTTCCTGGGCTTCTGACCACATCCACACCATCTTTGTGCCTCCTGAGAACACAGACCTATACAGACGAACAAGTAACCTCCCCGTTCTTGGCCCTTCCGCAGATCCTTGGACCTCTGGACCACGACGACCAGTGTGGGAAGCAGAAACTGGCCTACAAACTAGAACAAGTCATAACCCTCATGAGCTTAGACAGCTGAGAACCGTCCTTCCAGGGCCGCCCTGGAGGGGGACACACCAAGCCGTGCCTCAGTCTAGATTATCATCTTTACCAAGTGCAAGTTCCGACTGGCATCAGCAGCATCCCCTGAGCAGCGCTGTTTCTTTCTGTCTCTTTCTCTCTGCCTCTTTCTGTTTCTCCCTCCTTCCTGGATCTCTTCTCTTCCAGTTGCTCTGCCAACACAATTGGACCAAGCCACTGACCCTCAGTTAGTCCAAGAATGGCCAGGCCCATGGCAAGGGAACTGACCAGAAGATGTCAGAGGGGCCTCTCTCCCCCAGCTGCTCCTGACCCTGTGCATGTCAGCAGCAGGATGAGGAGCCAAGGACAGGGGACGTATCTGTGCTGCTACTTCGCCTTCCACTTTGGCAGCCGCCGCTTCGATCTGAGCCTTGGCCTAGAGAAGAGGCAAGGAAGTAGTTCAGTGTTATCTTCACTGGGAAGACATCGCCTGGCTCTCCGTTCCCACAGTTCCATCTCCAGTGGTTCAGCCAGTGGTCTGATCGCTTTGCAGCTGTGAGGAGAAAAGCCACACCTCCTGCATGTGGCTGGAGCAGGACATGTGTGAGCAGCTGGGAGGTGCTCCTTGAGGCTCCCTCTCCCCCGCTGGGATGGCGTCCAGAGGCTTCCTGTCCTCTTTCAGGTCTCTAGAGGGACCTGCCTGCCCCGCCTGCTCCCCCGCCAGTAGAAAGCCAGGCAGGAGAAAGAATAGCAGTTACATTCCACCATGGAGATGCTCCTAACCTTTTCATCTGAATCCTAGCAGCAGAAGTGTAACACAGTGGGGGAGAAAAGGAAAGAGAGTTGCATCTACCCTGGAAGCAGAATTTGTTGTTTTCCATTTACCCCCAAATTCAAATGAGTCACGATCATAATCATAGGTCTAGTCCATTACCAGAGCCCTGAGTGCTGTCAAGAGAAAGCATCTATCTCCACCCTCCTTTGTCACCCTTCATCAAGGGTCAACGTGAAATGCAGAGTGCATCTAGGAGATTCTACCTCCAGCCATCTCCATGGCTCCATCCCCACCATCCTTCCTGAGGACTCCATAGACGGCTGGGGCCAACAGCCTAGTCCCTGTTCCCTCTGCAGAATCTGGTGCCATTGCTATGCAGACGACTTTGTCACTGGGCTGTCCAGACCTCTTTGGGAATGATTTCATCAACATCTCAGCTGTCTCTTTCATCATTCTCCTTCCTCATCTCTTCAGCAGTCATCCTTGAAAGAAACAGACTTAAGTACAGCCTCACAGAGACCACGCAAAATGCCAGCCAACCTCAGCCTCCAGCTTGTCAGGTCCGGGAGGGACAAAGAATCGCGCTGATGGGCCTGGCTGGAATTGAGAAGAGGGACATACAAATGACCTCGGCCTTGGCATCCATCTCCCCATCTGTTCTTATATCTACAGATGCACGATTTTAGCCAGGCAGGCAAATGTGTGCCTAGAAATGGATACCAGGTAAGCTAGAGGATATGGGGAGATATGGTCTAATGGAGGGTTTTAGGAACCTTTCATCCTAAGGAGACCTTAGGTGCTGTCTGGTCCGGTCTCCCACCCTAAGCAGGAGTCTCTGTTGGCACCTCTGCTCTGGAGTTGTTCACCACTATGGGAGACAAGGAGAAACATCATCTTAGGTGAGGTTAAGGAGAAGGAGTCACAGTCTTGCCTTCACTCCCCAAACATCAGACATCGTTCCTTGTCACCCACTCAGAATGAGCCCCACTTGGGGAAGAAACCACACCATCTCCAGCAAAGTCCATGGAGCATCCGGTACTTTTACGAACACTTGCCCCTTTGGATATGAATATGTGCACATGTGTGTGAGCGCATGTGCATGCGTGTGTGTGTCTGCCCCAGGTGTAGGCAGAAAGCGCAAAAGGATTCCTTGTCCTTTGTAGGAGGATTTTTGGTGTTCCCCTTCTCTTTCCCCTTGCTCATCCATTCATCCTGCAGCTTCAGGACATTTCAACCCTTGCTTTCTATGCTGAGAACTGGCGGGTGGAAGGAGAGGTCACTTGTCCATAGGAAATCAGGGTGGTCACCTGCCGAGGCCTGGACCTTGGCACAGGGCATCATGTGACATCGCAAAGGACAGATGGTGGAAAAGACACGAGCAACCTAACGGGAAGAGGAAAATGGGAAACAATGCATTGGAAGAGGAAGAAAAAAATAACCAAAGGTTTTGGCAAGTGCAGTACCAGGTGGAGAAGCTTGGATTTTTCTATCCTTGATCATTTTATTCCCTCCCAAGAAGTTACGGGACCTGGAAGGCCAGAAAGGGTGCATGTGGAAGACGGTCTGAGGAAGTACCTCGGTCACTAAAATATTTTTGCACATATGAAGGGTTGGGGAGGAAAGAGACACGAACATATTTAACACAGATTTGCTGGATGGAAGCTGCGTGTGTGAACGTGTGTATGAGTGAGTGTGTTTTGATTTTTTTTTTTTTGCACAGTTGAGAAAAAATTGAACAAGCAGAAAAAAAAGACTCATAACAGTTCTGCTGAAGCTTTTTTTACCGGATGATTATTGTTATTGTTACTTTCGCGGTACAGGACTTTATTTTTTTCCATGTTTTTGTTATAAGAAAACCTTCAAACACCTCAGAGAAATAGAAAGGTTAGGAAGAAAGAGGAGACAAGGACAGACAAGTTTTCTGGCTGTCCCCATTTCTCCTGGGGAGGGGTTTGGGGCCGGTTTGACTTTAATTGGTGGGTGGGTTGTTTCTGTCGCTCTGTTTGCTGCAGTCCCCGTGGCCTGCTTGGGGACTGAGAAATCCGAGCCAGGTATCCAGAGCCACAGCCCATCTTGCTTATAAAAATTTTATGTTTCCTTTTGCTGTTTGTTTTCCATTTCTTCCATTTGGATTCTTGTGCACATGTGATATGTTTAAAAGCAAAGACAGGCGACATTGTCAAAAAGTTGTCCTTGCCCCCCCCATCCCCCACCCAAACCTATTTTCCAAACTCCCCCAGGGATCTTCCTCCCCCCATGGCAGAGCAAATATCCAGGGGCTGCCCAGGTGGCTTGCAGGCTCCCAGAGAAAGGAATTGGGCCAACTTGGTCCTGTGGGATGGAGGCCCCCTCATGGCCTCCCTCTAGGCAAAGTTAATTTGTTGAGTCTTGGGCAGAGAAAAGGCCATCTCCCTCACCTTTCCCTCCACCTCACCCCCTGTACCCTTCCAGGGAAAAAGGTACCAGACTGAGTCATCAAAATCACTGACAAAGTTTAGGTGGGGATTTTGCATGTTGGAGAGAGAAGGGCTTAAGGTAGCAGGGAAGGAGGGGGCTTTGTGGGGTCCTAAATTTTAAGGAACAAGTAGAGGAAGACAAGAAAGAGAGCTGTAGGCTGGTCATTTCTCCCGGGCACGAGTCCCCCAGATGTAGCTTTTGCCCATTCTTTGTCCTTCCCCATAAGGAGAGAGCCTGACAGTTCTTGGTAGCTGCAAATAATAGTGCCACTAAGTGAAGGCAGCCATCGTGCCAGTTACTTCCTCAGGAAAATATTTTCTTGCCTTCTTTCAATATGGTTTTAAATTTGGGGACAGAGGATAACCCAAGTGTCCCACAGGCCAAGGTACGTTCCAATGGCAGCATGACCCCCGCACCCAAAGTCAGCCCCTAGAGCCGCCCCCTTGTGCACCCACAGCCTGGTAAGTGAGCTTGGGTGCTTGCAAGGAGCTACGGGTGAAAGAGAAGTCATTTTAAATAAATCCGAAAGTTTGAGGCAGACTGTCCAGGACTGTTCCCAAAAAGAAGCAGGAGTTACCCACAGGAAAGGTCTCTGACCTGGTCCCCTCAGGCCCAGCTACTTGCGCCCACCAGGAGTGAAGGTTAATGTACTGGCCCAGCATCTCCACCTCCCCCACGCAACCAGGTCCCTGGTACCCGTGTCTCCCGTTGCATGTCTGGCTTCTGCCTGTGCTCCTCCTGCCACGAGAATCCTCCCTGTCCCTCCCTGTCTCTCCTACACGCATAGCCTCTGTCCCAGGGCCATTTATCCACTTAGTACAGGAGCTGCTCAGACCTCTCAGCCCAGCCATCTGTGACTGCCCCAGCCCCTTCCCACCCCACCCAAAGCTGCCTTCCTGGCTGTGGGGGCTCCCTCATCTGGTCAAGGCCCTATGGGTCCCCATCTGAGGATCCACAAGTAATGACTTCCCAAATGACCTCTACTGCAAGAGGCATCCTCACCAGTGTTTCCAGAGCCGTGAACGATGCTGTGATGAGCCCAGGTCTCAGCACCACCCTCTGTGACCTAAAAAGAAAAGCTCAATTTCCATCTGTCATCTTTCCCAGGACCAAGGGGACACAGTAATGTGAAGTCAAATACTTAACCGAGCGTAGGGCCAGTATTATCAATCAAGGACAAACCTCCCATCTCACAGACAGCTGAGCAGTGAGGGAAAGACAGACACAGGTAGGAAGGTGCTCTGCAGGCACAAGGCCCAGAGGTGCTCCTCTCTGGGAACTTCCCCTGCTCCTTCCAGGAACAGTGAACCCAGTGAGCAGCCCCAGCCAACTCTTCAAGGCCATCAAGGGGTCTTTCCGTGAATGACTCACCTCCAGGAGCTCAGCTGACCCCCAGAGAAGACCCACCCCAGGCAGCTCAGTGCCCTGGCTTCTCCCCACGCCCCAAATTCCCCAGCCATCCCTCCTGGTCCTCGTCTACATCAAGGGCCTCTTCCCCTCTTCCTGCCAGCACTCAGGACAGGTGACTGGGAGGACTTGACCCCTCAGCCTCTTCCTTTAAAAAACAAAACTGTGGGCCATTTATTTAGGATTTTGGAGTTGTTTGGTTTTTGTTTGTATATTTTAAGAGTTTGAGAGTAAGAAGGGAGCCCTGCTATGGATGTTAAGTCCAAATTACTTGGTTGGTGGGAGCAAAACCCATGACTTACAAGGGGATGAGGAGAACCTCAGAGGACAGGAAGAGCCTCCCACACTAAAGGAAAAAAAAAAAATGGGTCAGGACATTCCCTGGATGAGGACAATGCTAGGGGTGGCATCTCGCATGGCTGCTGCTATTCCTGGTGCTTCCCCACACATTTGACAGATGGAGTCTTTCTCCTCCCTCCTCCCGCCACCTCACCCTACAGGCATTCTCTGTATAGGGAACAAGAGCCTTGTTTTATAGAATGGGGGACTGAGACACAGCCCCAGGTAACACTGACACAGCTCTCGAGAGAGGCTGGGACACTCTGCAAACCTCTCCTCATGGTGCTGAGGGTGGCATGCTCTCGACAGGAAACCTAAATGACCACTCCTCTCATTTGGAAGGTAATTCACTGTAGTAAAAGTTTCAGACATGCAAGAGAGAAGTTTTTTAATACTATAAATTTTTGCTCCCCCATAAAATTATTTTTTTATTAGAGGGAGTATCCAAGTTGTAAAAATACATAGAATTTTTGGGTTGTAAAAGAAATACATACTCATTAGGATCCCAATTAAATTCCTCGAGTAGACTGGTGACTACCGGAAAGCAAAGCAAAGTTAAACAAAACGAAACAAAATCCTTCATATACAAAAAGAACTTTCTGTTTGTATTGGCAGAGGTAGTGAGGTAGGCTGAAAATCCTGGGTTGGGGGAACCTCACCCCCTTTGATGTCTATGCTTGGCTCTCTGGGCTGCCCCTGGTACTGCTGAATCCTATACATCTCTTATTAGCTTTCCTCAGACTTTAGGGAGGCTCTGTTAGGGATGGGTCATGGGAAGACCCAAGTTTTCCCTCTGCCAGGATTGCAAAAGTAAGTAGACTTGGTCTATGCAGCTCATCTTCCACCAATTTCTTTATGTGGAATTAGAACTTCCTTTGTTAGTATCTTTGATCTTTTGACTCAAGCACATTTTGGAAGGGCTCCCTTACAAGAGTAGAATTTAAAACAGAGGATACAGTTAAAGAGCAACCCAAACGGCACTTAAGAAACTGAGACCACTTCACCAAACAGGACTAAGGAACGCTTCCGTGCACAGAGGTCAGTCGCAATCCAGGCACAGGATGAAGATGGGATACACCTGCTCATCTTCTCGCCTCCTTCCCTCTCCCTCCCCAACGTTCTCGTTAGCTTGTTGGCTTGCTAGACCTTCTGTTCTTTAAAATGAAAAGCTAGCTTACCTCAAATAATCTTGTTTCCATTTGGAAACCAATGATTTTGTGTTTTAGAACGGACGGCCCTCCCCTCACCACTCCCTACCTTGGCCTGGTGTCCTTGAGACATGCCGTCTTTGCTTAGTCGTGTGTTGGCTGCTTTGAGCAGGAACAAGGCCCCCAGGCCCCGAGGTGGGAAGGAAGGATTGGATGCTGCTGCCCTCCTCCCCACTTTAGCATGTAGGGGCCAGTCCACCTCTTCCAGCAGGGTCCTGCCGAGTTACCGTAGCAACTAGCAACTCCAGGGTACCGCAACAGACAATGGCTCAGTGAGCTGACATGTGGGGGTGATGCAGGGGTTTTGGCCCGGCCAGATGACCCAGAGTTGAGCTTCAAATGCTAGAGGAGAAGGGAAGAAACAGGATGGATGGGTGATTTAAGGAACCGGCAGGAGTCTGAGTCACATAGAGAAGCCGCTGAAGGAGTTAGAGCAGGTTATCTCTGTTCCAGTCACCCCCTTCCAGTCCCATCCCACTTCTGTTTCAAACTAAAGCTCCCACCTCGAACACTGGCCCTTTGTTAGAACAAAGCAAAACATATCTTTAGACAACAGTGTTAAAATGAGCCTCAAATATATGTGGATGAGATCTCCAAGAAGAGGGTCTTCTGGTTTTGATTTTTAAAGAAGAGTATCCTAGTAAGATATTAAAAAAAAGATTTAAAAAAGTTTTTAAAAAGGAAACCTATGCTATTTAAATTGGAGCCCAGTTGTAACTTGGTAAAGGCAAGCTTCTGTACCTTTGTTATAATTAATTGTATACCTGTGTATGTAAATATAAGGCATTCCTATTTTGCAGTTCAGAACAAAAAAAAAACTTATTTGTAATATAGAATAAAGTTTATTAAAAAATAATAAAAATGCAGTTTGGGATTTTGGGTCCTTCTCTATATGACTGGCTGGGAGGGGCTGGGGGAGAAGGCTGGCTATAAGATGGCAACAGCTTCCAGCATGCAGACACATGTCTGGCACCTTCTCTCTGCAGTTGTGTGACATCTAAACTCAACCGCCAGAGATGCGTCCTTCTACTTAAGACTCTGTTCTCAGTTGCAAGGCAGCCATCCCGAGGTGGCAACACTTCAAGCCAGGGACAGTAAACATGTTACTAGTCAGTGCTGTCAGGAGACAACGCTTTCCTACGCAGCCCAGTCAGTCCCAGAATCCCTCTCAACGCAGCCCTCCAGGAACTTGCTACTTGCCCATTAGAGTTAGCTCTGGGGATGACACAAGCATTGCCATCTCTGCTTCAGGTCTTCCTGGCAAGCGACACCTTTGTGACCAATGATTCTATCAGCCCCCATTTCCCCTGGTATGTTGATGGAGAGTGAAGATCTTGAATCCAACTGTGTTCCTGGGGTAGAGTGGGTTAGGGAGAAAGAGAATGAAAAGGGTGGCAGTGAGGAGGGCCAGAGGGAAGGAGCCCATGCCGCTGCCTGCCTTGTATGCCCATCTAAGGCCCACGCTGCTCAGAGGTGGGGGGTGGGGAGCCAGTGCCACTGGCATGACACAGAGAGCCCTGGCCCAGGAACCAGGACCTCTGCAGGTTCTGCTGTTGGCTCACCTGGCCACCTTGGGCAGATCTGTCCACGTTTTAAGCCTTGGGTCAGCAGGTGGAGGACAGTGGGCTGAATGACTCCATGAATATTCCAGCATCCTTCTTATTCAAAGGGAAAGCCATGAGAGAAGCGAATCAGGAGAGAAGCAGGATAAAGAACAGGAGGCAGAAACATGGAAAGGGGAAGACTCAAGAGGGAAGCAAGAAAGGAAGGAGGAGTGTGGGGTGGGGACAACGGGGAGGGGTGAGGCAGATGCTAGGACACAAATGCTGATGAAACTTCAGGCAAATTCCACTCTCCTGCCTCCCTGCTGCCCCCACCCACCCATAAGCCCCTCCAGCCTTCACACCCTGAGATGTGCATGGGGAAGAGTTCACCCAGGATGGGACCCCTGGAGGGCACAGAGAGAAGGGTCAGGAAGTGGCCTGGGGAATGTCCACAAGGGTCCTTCCTGGCCTTGCTCTCAGCACTGTCCCACCTTCCAGAGGCGATTTCTTCTGAGATACGAGGGAGCTCCTGAGGAGAGAGCATCCCTCAGTCTGAGATGGAGAATCCACGGCCTCTGGAGGCACCATCAGCATGGTCGGCCACAGGACGATGTACAGCGTGGAGTGACTGTCGAATGGACGGGGCACCTGTGAGGGAAAACCGAGGTCCCTCAAGACCTAGAACAAACCAAATGGATTGAAATCAACCAGAGTGGTAGTTTTTTTTTTTTTTTTCTTCTTAGTAGATCAGGCTTACAAGGAAAGTATAGTTCAGGAACAGGAAGGAGATGTTCTTCCCTTCTCCTAAATAAAGACTCAGATTGAGTGGGGACAGTGATGTCACTCTGAAGGTGCACATTGAGACTGAACAACGAAGTTTCCACCAGGGCCTCAGATTCCCTTACCTATCTGAGCTCAAACTTTGTCAGAACCAACCACCATGACCTTGAGCTGGCTGCTTCTCTTGTATTTTGTTTACTTAGCCACAAAATAAAGATGGTTCTACTTGTACTACAAAGCCCAGAAGATTGGGGCAGGTCGATTTAGACAACTGAAATGAAAAAGACCCCATGTGCTATGAAGGCTCATACATGCATGCAGTGTTATTATTAGTCATACAAATGATACTCTACAGGCCGAGCATGGTGGCTCATGCCTGTAATCTCAACACTTTGAGAGGCTAAGGTGGGTAGATCACTTGAGGTGAGGGGTTCGAGACCAGCCTGGCCAACATAGTAAAACCCCATCTCTACTAAAAATACAAAAGTTAGCCTGGCGTGGTGGTAGGCGCCTGTAATCCCAGCTACTCAGGAGGCTGAGGCAGGAGAATCACTTGAACCCAGGAGGCAGAGGTTGCAGTGAGCCAAGATTGAACCACTGCACTCCAGCCTGGGGGACAGAGCAAGACTCCATCTCACAAAACAAAACAAAACAAAACAGAAACTGTACAAAGAAGAGTGGGCCCATCCTGCAGCTTTAATAACAAATTTAGAATAATGCCTAATTTACCCATTGCAAAATAAGTAAATATCTAACACCTTATGAAATCGTTTACTTTTTGTGGTCATTAGACTAGAGATCTTTGATTTTTTCCCCCCAAGACACAGTCCTGCTTTATTGCCTAGTTGGAGTGCAGTGGCATGATCTCGGCTCACTGCAACCTCCACCTCCTGGGTTCAAGCAGTTCTCGTACCTCAGCCTCCCAGGTAGCTGGGATTACAGGTGTGTGCCACCAGGCCAAGCTATTTTTTTTTTTTTTTTTTTTGTATTTTTAGTAGAGATGGGATTTCACCATGTTGACCAGGCTGGTCTTGAACTGCTGACCTCAAGTGATTACTCTCCCTCGCCCTCTCAAAGTGCTGGGATTATAGGCATGAGCCACCATGCCCAGCTGACTGTGAGATCCTTAAAGGCAGAGACCACATCTCAGTTGAATTTATTACCCCAGCTTAGCACAGTGATCCGCTCAGAGAGAGTGCTCAATCAACTATGAATGGAGGGAGAGAGGGACAGAAAGCAAGACTCAGTGAAAGCAGTCAGCTACAAAGTTGGCCACTGGGTTGTCTCCCAACTGTGACTCCATTACCTTCAAAATCAGGCCGCTCGCCCTCTCCTATGAATGGTTTATCTTTAGAAAACTAATTCCTTGAGTTGCAGCTAGTGGCTATCTTTTACAGGTAAAGAGAGATGGTGTTGTAGTCAAAACCTCTCCCTGGGTTAGCAGAGCTGCTCCTAACTGAGCAGAGCAAATGGAGGCAGATGCAGGTCACTTCTGCACGGTCACTTTCTCTAAACCTGCCTCACTTTTCTCTTAGCAGAACTCCTACCTTGAACACTGAGCCAGAGCCTGCAGGGCTGCTGAGAGTATCCACTAAAGCCAAGGCTCATGAATGACGTTGGACCCAGGCAGAGGATGTAGGGCTCAGGCAGAGGAGGTTAGACCCAGGCATAGGAATATCTGGTAGGTTATATCACAGTTCAACAATAGCTATTTCCCCGTCTTGAAGGAGTACAGTTTCCCACCCCAGTAAAGTTCAGGTGACCCAGCAACTTGGTTTGGGCCAATGGAATATGAGTGTTAGTGGTGTGGTCACTTGTAATGCTCCAGAGAGCAGCAGCCTGAATCACAGAGTGAGGACAATGACAGCACAGAGCAAAGCCACTGGATGATAGCATGGTTATGTAGTATGAGTAAAAAATAAAACTTTGCTGCTTTAAGTCACTAAGGTACAAGGCTGTTTGTTACTGTTGCATAGCCAAGACTATCTTGACTGCTATAGAGTATAAGGGATTTAACCTAATAGGTGGCCCCTCAGTTCATAATGAATGTATGAAATCTCACATTTCACCTACGGAGACGTATTCTTTTGACCTAAAGCCTTCTTTAAAAAGGACACTGTTGACTATTTACACTCAATATGAAGCATTTTGTGGAAGGTCCTAATTTTTCTGAACTAGCTTTGGGTCAGATTAGGGAAGAAAGGGAAGACTAAAGAGGAGGAGAGGTGGAAAAAGGCAGTGCAAATCTACAGAGTTAGGAAAGAAGGAAGTGGAAGGAGGGGAAGTATTGAGGAGAGAAATGGGGAGGATTTGGAGGGTGAGAGAAAGGACCTGCCATTTGCCAACTCTGTGCCAGGCGTGTGCTGCCTGGTTCCCACACCACCTGCTGTGGTGAAGAGTTTTCAGGCCCAAGTGAAAGTCATGGCATTAACATCCCACAGTGCCCTAGGAGAAACAATTTATTATCTAGGAATGAATACAACCACGGTTGTTTAAAAATATAACCTATAGTTTTCTATATGCCTTGGTTTTGATCAATGATCAATTTACCAGGAAAACAGAGAACCCATCCTTAGGGGATACAGACCATATTCTCAGCACTGGTCCTTGATCAAGATGGCAGCTGCCTTCGAAAGCCATAAACGACAGCTTCTGGTGATGCCTAGAAGGATGCTGGCTGATTCTAATGAAGGCCTGATGATCCCTCTAAGATGCAGGAGAGGAAGAAGTCATGCTCCTCATGCACATAAATGCAGAAGAGGGGTCCTTCTTATCCCTGCTCCACATCCAAGTCCAGACCAGACCTGCCACTGTATCACTCACCTTCCAAGTTCCTGCTCATTACCTGTTTAAGTCTCTCCAAACTCCAGCAATGCAGAGTCAGGGCTTGGGGTAGAAAGAAACAGAGGCCCTGGGAGAGGTGGCTGGCAGGTCAGTAGGGATGTGTGCTCCCCCCGATTCATTAGGATCACATCCCTCACCATAGGAAACATCCTGTTTCCTTAACTAAAAGGTCATTGGCTGTGCTGAACTACCCCAACTCCACAGTACCCTGCCAATCCTTCCTTCTGCTTTGGTTTGCCTGCTGTTTTGTGAATTTCTGTGGGCAACACAGGCTGGAGATGCCACTGACTCAGAGCTGTGTGAGCAGCCCCCCTTTGCAGACAGCTAGGACTTCTACTCCTAGGACCCGTTCTCCATCCCCCTTTTGTATCTGGAATATACTATCTACATAGTGTGATGGTGAAGACCATGGCCTAGTTCAGACTCTGCCCTTCTCTGGCCAGTTTTTACCTGGAGTTCCCAGCTGTCTCTAAATCATGGCTTCCCCACCTGTAAAGATGAGAATAATAATGCAGGGCTGCTGAGGATATCCTCATACAGCTCTCGTGACGATCAAGTGAGGCAAGGATTACAAAGCACTTAGAGCAGGTCCTGCCACCCTGTAAGTTTGTGACAGATGGTAGCTTTTACTATTGTGTAGCAGGCTTCTGAAAACTCCACATATGATCTCTCTAACCCTTGCTCATGGGACAACACCA